CCAGTAAGGACACATGTTTTTGAAAATTTTCAGTGAAATAAGAAAAATCCCTTAATGGTGCACTATGTCATATTATTCAGACTATCAAACGCACCGGATTATAAAGTGCAATATCAGCAATGTTGAATTCTCTCCTCTATTCTCATACATAAGGCGGACTAGATTATAAGGCGCATTAAGTGAAACAAAACGGTCAGATCAGTCAAACTTTATTCAACTCATTCACAATAACTCAACATTGTTCAGTTTTAACACATAAAATACAAAACGATACACTCACTTTTTCATTCATTTCATTCCTCTTCCACAAATCCATCAAATTCTTCATCTTCAAGTGTCAGAGTTTAAAAGTTAGGCGATTTCATTATCAAGCCCGGATCCCCCTCGTCGTTATCTGAGTCAGTTTCATTGCTTTTACTTCGCTGTTCAACACTTGAGACTGATCCATGATCCATCGGCAGATCGTGGCGTAATTCACTCGGTGTTGTCTCCCTGTCTTGGTGAATGTGGATTATGAATGTGAATGTATATGGATGTGGATCATTTTTTGTTTTTTTATTTCCTACGAGGAGGACTCAAATATACATTGAGTAATAATGTGTTTAATGCAGCTTTACGCACATTTGTTTACATTTTACAGAAACAAAACTTAAAACTACATGTCTAATTTATATAAACTATGTGTGATTTTTATTGTATTGTATTAGATAAAATCAGTTCAATGTCAGTAATCACAACCAGAATTAATACACAAGGCGCACTGTTGATTGTTGAGAAAGTTAAGGATTTTAAGTGCGCCTTATAGTCTGAAAAATATGGTAGCTTTTTAGTTGGGTGTTTGGAATGTTCCACAGTACGACATTAAACAGCTCTATCTTACATTTATTCAATTACTGGTGGTTTTACTGCTTAGAAATACTTAGAAAAACATGGATTCTGACTGTGAGTGTGGTTGCCTCTTCACAGATCTGACCTGTTTAACTTCTGTTTCGTTGCAGAGACAATGCTTTCAACACTAGTACTTTTGCAAACAGCTGTAAGCGTATTGTGTGTAGGAAGTCCCATTGTCACCCGTTGTCTGGTGGTAAACACTGACGCCAGTTTCACTTTGAAGAGCGTAGCGACTGAAACACAAATGAGTACAACAAGAACTTTGCGGACACTTTAAATGAGCACAAAAGAGAGAAAAGAGACGACAGGCAACGCTTTTGACAGCCTACAAATTGTCTTGGGTTTTCCGAAGTGAAAACAGCGCAGCGTGTGAACAAAATGGAAATGTGTTCTAGTGAGTGAAGACGCCTCATAACCGCAGAGTTTATCCCGTACTAATTGTGGATTTCTTGTAGATGAAACAAAACCAAAATAAGGAAAACGTCAAAACAAACAATGGTTGAAGAAAAACGCACAAGCACAGACTGTATAAAGAAGACGACTAACAGAGTGTGACCCATATCATTTGGCTTCAGTCAAATGAAGCTCATGGAGGCTAAAGGTTGAAACGTGTTGGTATTCCTCATTGAAATACAGGATTTTTAATATTTTCAGAGTGCCTCGGGTTTGTACCTCGTCCATTTTTACATTTTCCAGTAAGGGCTACATTCTGACGAGATTAAAATTTAACCCTCGTAGAGCACCCGTACTGCTATTTTTAAACTTTTTTTATGACCCAGTGAAGCGCTCCACCTTTTCTCTTCATCTGAGGAATTTATTTACATCGAAAATAGCGAAATAAAAACAGGATCATGTAGAGCGGGTTAATACGAATATTTTAAGACCAAAATGACGAGGCTCACTGCAGCAGTTACAGAGAGAGGGGTGACAACTTTTCAATGTGAAGTCAATTGGAGCCAGACTCAATGGAGCCGGAAGTACCCCCATGAACCACACATTCCAGCATCTAACGGGTTAATTATAGCCATTTAAATATAGCTATGTCCATTTAATATATACTCTATGTTCCGAAGAGATTGATTAAGGAATTAAAATACCAATTACTTCCATCAAAATGATTATTTAGTTATTTTCTTAGGTTCTTAATTCTGTATATTTGGTCTAACATTAACCAAAGCTACTGTAGATTAAAGGTGCATTGTGTAACTTTTCTGGTGGAGGGTTCGTGAATTGCTTTTCTCCATGGAAACTAGGAATGTAACGATATCCAAATCTCACAGTACGATATTATCACGATATGCCTCTCACGATACGATAATTATATTCCGATAACAGAATTCTACATTTGCTATTTTATCCTTTTAAAATACCTTGACCAGTCTCCAGTGTGGATCATTACTGCCATATTCCAAAGAAATACGATTTAAAGTGCTTAATAATAGGGATGTAACGATATCCAAGTCTCATGATACGATATCGTCACGGTATGAACCTCACGGTACAATATTTATTGCGATATCGTGGGAAAGTTCACGATATGGTGGAGAGGCTCATGATTAAGGACGTAACAATATCCAAATCTCTCAATATTTTCATGAAATACGTCTCACGGTACGATAATTATTGCGATATTTGTGGAGGCTAATATGCCACTTTTTCCTCTTAAAATGCCTTGACAAGACTTAATCCAAAGAACTAAGACTTGAAAGTGCTTAGAACTAATATTTCTTCTTGAAGTCTGCCCTGAAATAGAGCAAAGGATCATGGTCTATGTAGTTCCCTGCTTTTTTTTTAAGCTATTGCTGCACCATAACTCTTAATTTAAGCAGAGAGACTTGTAATTCGATATATTGTGATGGTCCACGATATTATTGTGAAAACTTTGATGATACAATATCAGGATATTTCAGTTATTGTTACATCCCTACTTAATAACAGTTATTTTATTATGTAGTAAAGTAAGTAAAGGATCATGGCCTATGCAGTTCCCTCTTTTCTAATATTTTTAAGTGAAAAACCTTGCAATTGGATATATTGTGAAGAACCACGATATTATAGTGAGATTTGTGACGATGCGATATCACAGTATTTCGGTTATTGTTACATCCCTAATGGAAATGTTATTGTTTTGTCTGGAATGTTTCACAGTATGTTATTAAACCTTTCTATCTTCATGGAGACCAAACCAGACCAAGTTACAGGTCAGATCTGTGAAAAGGCGACCCCACTCATTTTTTCTAGGTATTTTTTGAGCTATAAACCACCTGTAATTGCATAAATTTAATGTAGAGCTGTTTAATGTCACACTGTGGAACCTTCGAGGCAGAACAATGGCACAGAAACAAGCAGGTGACGGACCCTCCACCAAAAAAGTTACATAGTGCACCTTTAATTGGAGCAGAACTGGTGTCCAAATCATTCACAACTCTACTTAACAGTTTTTCCAGTCAGTCTGAAAAATATAACTGGAAAAACTCATGTAATCACAATTAAAATTCAATTAATTACACAGCCCAGTGGGAGTATTGAAAACCTCTGACGACTTAGGCCAGATAACAGGGACTGAGCTGGCAGTGTCTGTGGCACAGCAGTGTAATTTCCCCATCAGCTCTGCACCAGATATTTGCAATAAATCAAAATTGCCTTCCTGTCCTACTTCAGCTCTGTTTATTTCATTTCATTTGATTTAATTCATTACAGAAACAGAACATTTTAAAGGACCCATATTACACAGTTTTCTGATCTGTTATTCTTTTTCCTCTTGAAAAACAAAACCAGAGTCGTATTTTGTTCCTTTCACACGTGTTTAACACACAAATCCTGCATGTTTAGACTTCTTCCCTCAAATGAAAAACACTCTGTTCCACTTTGTGATGTCATGAGATAATACAGGAAGTGCTCCACTGTGTTTTTAAACTCCATACACCCTCATTATAATCATTTGGATGATTTCAGCCCTATAAAAGAATGAAAACTTCGCACATAAATTACTTGAGACGGGTGCGTTGGAGGAGAGGGAGTGGCCCAAGACCATAGAGAGAAATCCTGCACACTGACTTATGTGCAAAATGTGAGATTTGTTAGGACAAACAGTGTAATGTTTCACTAACGCCTAGTGCAGAAAAACATTTTATAAGTAAGACAGGTGTGCGGCATTTTTCTTGACGATTTCAGCCCTGAAATTGCAAATCACTACTGAACTAAAGGTAAAAAGGTAGCTGTTAACTTGAAAACTACCACTACATGACATCACAAGGTGGAACAGAGCATTTTGAGCTTTGGAGATGTAGACAGATAGACAAACATGTTGAACGAACAAAACAAAACACAAGGTATTAGGGGTGTAACGATATCCAAGCCTCATGATACGATATCACCATGATATGAACCTCATGGTACGATATTTACTGCGATATCGTGGGAAAACTCACGATATGAGATGTAACAATATCCAAATCTCACGATATACAGCTCACGGTACAATATTTATTGCAATGTTTTGTGGAGGCAAACAAACCTGTAAATATGCTACTTTTTCCTCTTAAAATGCCTTGACGAGACTTAATCCAAAGAACTAAGACTTAAAAGTGCTTAGAACTGTTATTTCTTCATGTAGTCTACACTGAAATGGAGCAAAGGATCATGGTCTATGTAGTTCCCTCTGTCTTTTTGTAGCTATTGCTGCACCATAACTCTTCATTTAAGCAAAGAGACTTGTAAGTCGATATATTGTGATGGTCCACGATATTATTGTGAGAACTTTGACGATACGATATCATGATATTTTGGTTGTTACATCCCTACAAGATATGGGTTTGATGATGTAACAACATTCTAACAGAGCAATTTTACGTAATGTAGGACTTTTAATTGAAAAGTTGATTGAAAAAGATGTAGCAATTAAAGTTAGGAAGCTAAATAAAAACATAAAAAGCATCCATGCAGTATCTCAATGATGCCATTGCCTCATTAAAGCCATAGCAGTATCAGTAAAGTCTCCAAAACTGACTGTGTTCCCCCCAGTACCCAGCGTGAAACTGAAATCTCATTGTATTACAGTGTCTATCCTTAAAGGTCATATGTGTAATATTCTTTTCGTGCCTCCACAGGGGACCAGCTTTGCCAGCCGCCCCGGCCCAAAGAAGAACCAGGAAACAGGATTAAAGAAGGACACATCCTGGTCATTGTTCCACCCGGCAGGAGAAAGCCCCTGCTCTGAGCCCTGGAAAACCCGCTACGTCGCCCTCACCAAACTCCCATCTATTTACAGTAAGACCTTTTCAATTATATATATGGTTTTTAGCTGTGTTTGTTGGTATGCATGCCAAAAATGGACAAAAACTGACCTGATTTGAATAGTTTTGACCAATAATATCAATTTTGACAACCCTATACCTGCCAAAATCTCTAAATATTGAAAAATCTGATACTTATCGATACCAAAACTACTTCTGAAACTCATTTGAGCGATTATTAATACTAACAAAGTCACATTAACAGGACAAAAATGAACCTTTCCTGAACGGCTTTAGAAAAAACAAGCGCAATTAGAGAGAGCAACCTGGTCCCCCATGAGGCGTCGGTGGGGTCAGTTCATCACCACAGAAGCAGCTTATGAGGAACCCAGCCCATATTACATGATCATTATATCCACAATGCAATGTGTGTATCTGTACAGGCCCATGAACATTTGTGTGATATTGGTCACACATGAGATGATGTCTGTGTTTACTTTTTCTGAGATTTTGAGACACTCCCGTTGCTCTTGCTCGATCCTTCGCGGAGTTATGACCAGAAACGTATATTTGACCTTGGTTACCTTGACCAGTTTCAAACTGTAACATCCAGTGTACCCCGGTTATGTGTGTGCCAACTTGTGTGACGATTGGGTGAATATTTTAGCCCGCAGATGGTTCAGAAATTGCCGAAATTGCCGATCCTTTATAATGGCGTGACCTTTCAATTGACCCGTGTGACCTCAAATTACCTCAGATCGTCACCGTCATCGTTTTGGCGGCATCGGGCACGGGGGCTTGACCCACGTACCAAATTTGGTGACAATTGGCCCATAAATGGCGGAATTATCGCGGGTGGACACACACACAGGCACAGAGGGTGAATACAAAACCTGGTCAACCCTTCGGGGACCAGGTAATAAATATAAAAGAGTGTTTTGATCTGTTTTGAGTATCGAGTCTATTCCTTAGTATCAGATATTTTGTCTGTATTTAGGTTTTAGAATTTTTTGTCAACCAATCGGTAATACTTTTAGGCATCTGGAAAGTATATTTTTTCAATCCGAGTTAGGAAAATAAAAAAAAATATTCAAAAATTTGTTTATGCTTTGGTTTGGGGGGCTCTGATTTAAAAAGTCCATGTTTAGTCCTAGTTTAGCCCTGGTTTAGTCCTGGTTTGGTTTCAGTTTTGATGTTGTGAATGTGCAAACTCGTGTGACCAATTGTTCCTTTTAATTTTAGTTTAGTTTGTTTGTCAACGTAAATATCAAATTTTAGTCATAGTTTTAGTCATTGCTGATTTACTTTTTACTAACTTTTTGTTTTGTTTCATGGCATTTCAAGAAATATTTTAGTCCACAAAATTACATGCACTTACCGTATTTTCAGAATCATTTAGGCAGTCGTGTTTAACTTTTCGGTTTAGTTTGATTACACGTGTTGATTATAGGAGTGCAGCGCTATAGTAGGTTAAACGTCGTACGGTCTTTTTCCTTCTTCAGCGCTGATGTATGAGCCCTGTCATTTTCCTGTCTGGTGAAGTTGCACCACTTTGTTTGCTACGCTTCGCTAATTCTCCACAAACCGTAGAGATAATCTTGTGGTGAATAATTTGTGGCGGTCGAGTTGAAATAGTGGAACACGGCGATGGCTCAGTGCCTCAGACAGAAGTGAATAAAAGAATGTGCTGTGGGTGTGTGGTTAGATTTGACTATGAAATCAGATCAAATGTCCTTTCATGCAAGTGATAGTCGAGTGCTTATTAAATATGAATGATGGAACCAAATTGTGCACAAGTTTAACATGAACACAACAATATGACCGTGACATTTACACATTGTCCCTTATAATCTATAATGCAGGGCCCTCCAACCTTTTTCCTTGGGTGAGCTACCTTTACACAACGCACACTCCAGAGAGTTACTAATCTTAGCAGTCGCAGGAAATAAAGTATAAATAAGAGCCATGGGAAGACTTAGATGGGTACAGTTGGATTAAATATAGAACATAAACCATTATTTATTTATGAGTGCACAAAGTCAGGCATCAAGATGATATTTACAATAATAATAGGCATTTAATTCATCAAATTTGAGTTATTCAGGACAATACATCCCTTGGCGAGCTAGTTGAAAGGGGGTGGAGAGCTCCTGGTAGCTCCTGAGCTACAGGTTGGAGACCCCTGCTATAATGTGTACATCTGTTTTATTACTGTTTTAAAGAGTTATTCTTAAAGGGCCCATCTCATGCAAAATAACTCTTTTCACATTGTATCTTACACATATACAAGCACAATTTGGGTTTTGGAACATCCATTACACAATAGTTTAAAATCTTACTGATTTCTTGGAGGCAGGCACAGACCAGGAACTATGAAAGGACCGACTATTGCTCATCCCCGCCCGTCCTGAGAAAGCACAGACTCCGCCCTCCAAAAGTGACGTAAACTCTGAGTGAGCCGCCCTTCCTCCGCCATCTCAGGGAGGGAGGGGGAGACAGGCGTGCACCCTGCCAGCAGGGTAGGAATAAACTTTTATTCATCATGGAGATACAGCACGTTCAGCCGCATGTGTTGGACCCGGAATCGGACGAGGACTTTGAGGAGCACGAAGCACAAGCACCGTGTCGACATCAGCTTAACATTACTGATTGGTAAAGTATTAATAAACGCTAGTAGATAAACTTATTATACCGTGTACACTGCAATGTAGAATAATTAGCTTATGCTGTTGCTTTTGTTTAGGTGTTCATGTGGGAATTATCAGCAGATGCGGGGCAGAGGCGGTGGAGTGCAAAGAGCAAAGTGCTTTCTGCAACGTCAAATGCGTCATAGGTGTATCTGCCGCGTCATCGTTGTAGCAGCTTTAGTTCGTTGTCGCGTGGGAGGGTGGCAGAAATACGCTGCAATTTGTAAAAAAAAACGCCAAATCAATCTAAAAACCACTTCGGCGACATATACAAGGCCCACACATCAATGACTCTTAGAAGGTAGAAAGCTCAGAATAGTTGATTTTGCATGAGATGGGCCCTTTAATCAGCAGTTATCCTACTAAATAATTAAGAGTAATTAAGAATGCATTAGTCTTATATAGTGCTTCTCCAAACACTCAGTTGCTTTACAGTTTCATGCATTATTCATTGTCTCCACAAACGACTATTTTAGCCACTGCCCAATTTACACCATTGATCTCTCTGACCATAAATCACTCGCACACCATATTTATACAAGGCAAGATGGGTGAAGTGTGTTGCCTAAGGACACAACAGTTTTTCCCACTACTGGCCGACTGTGACACCTGCGTTCCCAGTGGTCTCCCATCCAAGTACAGCCAGACCCAGCCCTGCTTAGCTTCTGTGATCTGATGAAATTAGACTAGGGGCTCTGTGTCACCCTCAGTCGTCCAGGTGGAAGATTTAATTCTATCATCTGGACAAAACCCTTTTTCTTTCTGAGTAAGGACATTTTGCAGCTGCTGCTTCAGTTCTGGTCCGGATAAGGAGGTGAGGCTTCATTGATTTTATGGCATTACTACAATTCCCATGTTGCCGCTTTTGAATACTCATTTAATAGAGTCAATACTAAAGACAATAGCATGCGGTTTGCCTCATTGTAGTTCCAAGTATAACCTAGTCTTGCTTCCAAAATGGACAAAAATTCCCTTGAAGCTTATTTAATTTACAAACTACAAAATGCTCTCTTGTTGAGGAAAAGTTGGCCTCAAACTGTTGTAACATGGTAATGTGATTTTATATCTGCTGTAAACACACACATTTGTCTTTTTCTGTTAAATGACGCTGTCCTCATGCCACTTTGCTTCTGGTCTGCAACACTGTGCCAAAGTGAAAATAGATTTGGTATGTTTCCTATAAAGACACATTGCTTCGATTTGCACCATAGCTGTCCTGCGCTGAACCACAGTCGCAAACACAAAAATAGGACCATTTGTTCCCATGTATGTGAGCAGAATGTGGCTTGCCCCGGTACAGATATAACGTATAAGCTGCTTCGGAGGTCAAAATATGTCAGCTGTGTACTGGCTGCATCTAATTATAAAGCGTGTTTATGTACGATGATCAGGAAGTGCACGTTAGATTAAGCAATTAAGATGCTCAGAATGTCTAATGCAAAAAAAAAAAAAAAAAAGTGTGGAATAATGTAACATGATTTAAAATAAACTAGTTTGACCCTGTACATATTGGTAACAAAAGAATGTGGAGCTTTTGGCTGAACTTTTAAAAAATCTTTATTTATACAGGGAAAAAACAAAGAGTTCCAGACTTATGTTCTTGAGCGCCTGCTTTAGTTTAGAAGAAACTACAGCTGGTACAATATAAGAATAGGGGTGTAACGATATCCAAGTCTCACGATACGATATATATTGCGATATCGTGGGAAAGCTTACGATGTGATGGGGAGGCCCAAATGTCTTATGAAACGTATATCATATATTTACTAAAATATACCAAAAAAACACACTTGGCAGCAGTGGTGTAGTGGGTATGATTTTTGATGTCATTGATGTGATGAATCCCGCCCACACCAGGACTGAACCAGGACTAAACCAGGACTAATCTTGGACTTCAGAGAGAGAGGAGGAGAACCAAGCTGTGGAGCAGGGTGTCCGCAAAGCACGATCAGGCAACGGCTGCGCTTAGCCCTGTGGGGGTGGAGCTCTGCACCGGTCTTTTCTCCTGTCGTCACCCGGCGGTCTACATGGACACACCTCTGGGCCCGTCCCAACACTCAGTCCTGGTTCGGTCCTGGTTTAGTCCTCTTGGTTCAGTCCTGGTTTAGTCCTCTTGGTTCAGTCCTGGTTCAGTGCTCTTTTAGTCCTGTTTTAGTCCTGGTTCAGTCCTGGTTCAGTCCTGGTTCAGTCCTCTTGGTTCAGTCCTGTTTAGTCCTGTTTTAGTCCTCTTGGTTCAGTCCTGGTTTAGTCCTCTTGTTCAGTCCTGTTTAGTCCTGTTTTAGTCCTCTTGGTTCAGTCCTGGTTTAGTCCTCTTGTTCAGTCCTGTTTAGTCCTGTTTTAGTCCTCT